GGCCCGCTGCCCACCGGAGGGCTGGACGACTTCCCTCCAGCAGAAAGGACACAAACACAGACAGTTCGGAGTGTGTGCGTGTGCTGGAGTGCAATGAGGCAATCTGCTGTGTATTTATAATTGAGTAAACACGACGGAGGGAGGTATGGATCGCTTCTGGAGTTATCCGGTCGGGATGTTAATGCACTTTAAGTGTGGATGTGTGTTCAGACAAGGCCATCTGTTCAGTCTATAGATTTCTAATCTTACTCCTCATGGCCAAAGCTGCAGCATCACAACCCCTCTACTCTTGAATTATGCGCAAATGTGACTTGAATCGATTTTAAAAGGCCGAATTGAGAAAACCTGTGTGTGGATTTTGGCCCGATACGATAACTTCCATAAAAATGTGAGTATTTTATTCCTGGAGGCTGGACTTGGTTGGAGTTACAGTTTTTTTTTTTTTACACATCTGTCAGTCAGAAGAAAAGCCCCAAAACACTCACCTTTATTAATAAAGCCCTTTGGTTTTTTTTCCTCCGCTCTCCTAATTCAATCTGTCCACTATCTGTGTTGTCTGAAAACTTAATGACTCGGCCAAATCCTCTGAGAAACAGAGGACTTGCAGACGGTCAAAACAACGGCAGGGTCAACTGTTCCCAGAAGGCTGTCGGGGGAAAAAAGAGACATCAGAGAGGAGAAAACAGAGAAGATAAAAAACTTCTTCCCCTGGAGGGTGAATCTGGCCGGCAGTAAGAGTAACTGTGACTGAGGAACGGCGTGGAAAATGTGATCACAGTTTCAATTTGAACCTGTCAGGAGTAAATAAGGAGCACATGACTGGGAGGCATGGATGGGAGGATAACCCAGCCCTGCTCTGCCCGGGCTCATTTCCACCTTTTACAAAGAAAAATATGAAAATGATTTTAAAAATAAACCCAAAAATAAGACGAGGTGCTTTGAACTGCTGGATGCCGGCAGGCAGAAAGACGGGCCAACAAAAAGGGTTCAAAAACCTGCAGCTGCATCACGGTTCTGGTGACTCACGCGTGGATTTTCATGCAGAGAATCCAGCTTTTTTCTTCTTTGTTCTTTCTGTCAGAGAATAATCCGTAGACTCTCTGCAAAGGGAGTCAGAAACCATCATCACGTGCATCAAGGTTGATTATACAGATGATCAATTGAATCTGGAACAAGGTCAAATGTGACACATAGATGCAAAAATTAGCATGTAGCTTGTAGCAATTGCTCATGAAGAGTCCTCTGAGATTTCTGTGACACAAACGGAGAAAAACAGCATCAAATTGTGACGTGAACAAACTCAAACTTTACATCCTCAGACCATATTAGCTTAATATGAGCAAAGAAATCCAAAAAAAGATCCAGT